TGATACTATCACCTAATCAATGTGCCGGTTAACCACACACGCTCCATTGATCTATGATAAACATCGAGCCACCCTTCGCCACCAATGTCAATCCCAATTAGTGTGCCGGTTAACTACACACGCTCCACTAACGTTTGACAAGGGTACGAAGTGTAATTCCATGGATTAGCATACAATTTCACATTTGGCCTAAAGTAACTAGAATTGGGAATTTGTAAAAGCATGTAGTTACTTGTACTTCATTATACTTATAATGGAAGGTTCATCCTATCCTACCCGTTCGGCTAACGACCCTCCACTAGTCAAGAGTGCGGTGGGTAAGAGTGGATACCCATTCAATCGCCATTTTATAGGCAATTTCCTTAAACACCCCTTAGAGACCAGCTTCGGAATGAGGCCTACTAACGGTAAGACTGACTGTTTACTCATAGATAGATATATAGATATAGATATATAATATATAGATAGATATAGAGATAATATATATAGATAGATATAGATATATAATATATAGAAATATTAGACTTTAATGTCATATATATATAGATATATAGATATATATATATATATATAGTATCGGGTGTTTTTATACTTTAACATACTATGTGGTTTTATTAACTTTCTCTTTTAATTAAACTTTTAATTAACTTAACAAAACCATAAGGGTGTAATTTGAACTTTTCAAAATACGAGGGTTTTAGAATTTAACATTTCAAAATTAAACTTTTAATCAACTTTTAAATTCCAAAACTTGAGGGCAAGTTTTGAACTTTTCAAAACAATTAGGTTTTAAAAATTTTCGAAAAATTAAAACCTTTTAATCTTAAATATTAAAATTTGATTTAATAATTATCCAAAATTAAACAATTAATTTGAATTATTAAATCTTGGAGGATATCTATTAAATTAAACACTTAATTTGACCTAATCCCTTAAATCCCCTAAAATTCGAAATTATGGGATGGGATAATTCAAAATCTTTAATTACCAAATTTAAACACTTAAAAGATAATTACAAGATATGCCATTATCCAAATCCCAAAAAATTAGGATCTAATCTTGGGGAGGAAGCCAATTTTGAAATCCTAGGGTTGGATAACCCTAGAATTCGAAATCTTGGAGGCTAAGGAAAGGATTTGGGAAACCCTAACCAAATTTCGAAATTTAGGGTTTATGAACCCTAATTTCGAAAATCATGTCTTTAGGGTTTATTGGCTATAAACCCTAATATGTCAAATTCATACTTTTGTATAGAATCTAATTGAAAACAAAAACCAATGGCTCTGATACCACTAATGGGTTTTATACAAACAATCCTATGTGTGCATGCAACCCTAGAGTTGGATCTATGTTATCACTATTAGTTATACAACATTATGAACACAAAAGAACCCTAGCATGCATCTACTATTTTCGAAATTGACATAGGAGAATAGAATACATACCTTTTGTTGTTATGTAGTAATAACAACTAGTTTCTTGAGTTTCCTTAGCTCTTGAAAGCAAGTACCACAAGTGTAGTACCTCTAATGGCTCACAAACACGCTTTGGGTGAGAGGATGAATATGAGAGAGAGGAGGAAAAGTACTAAGCTCCAAAATTCGTCCCTAGTAGGGTTTTCCCAAGGAGTGGTCGAATTCTAGTGCCTTAGGGTGCTATTTATACTTGAGGCTAGCTAGGGTTTCAAGGTGGAAACCCTAATCCCTTAGCTTAGGAACTAAGCAAGTCCATGGACTCCTTTCCTTAAGCCCTTGGACGAAAACTCCTAGATCCTTCTAGGATTTTCGTTCAAGCCTTAATAAAGGTGATCCAATAGCCCAAGTCTCAACTATCAAATAAACAAACAGCCCCTATACTTTTAATTAATTCATTTAATCCCAAAATTAATTCCTAATTAATTTCTGATTAAATACTAATTAATAATATGATTCCAAATTATTATATTAATCATATAATATAATAAATAAATCATATTTATATCCTAATCAACCTCTCTCCTCAACTGTCATCCTGTCTAGTCACCCGTGTGAAGGCAACCCAAAAGGACCATGCTCACAATCGGGTCAAGTACATACCAAAATAGTTATGGACTTAGACACTAATCCAACAGTAAACTCGTCATATCCTTTTAGTTCATCATCATGCAAAAATGGAACTTCTTGTTTTCCAGATTCATTACCAACCTTATTCACCACGTCTAGTACTTTTTTTGGTCAAAGTAATGATTTACACCAACATCATTAACATATGTACCAACATCATTATCACCGATATACTTATAGTTCTCCGGTGTAACATACATAATCGGTTCTGGCACTACAGGCACTACATTTACATTTTCAGCGACACTATGATATTGACTTTTACTTGGACTTTTAAAATTACCTATTGGGTTGTTGCTCCCTTTCCACTTGATAAATTAGCTGAAGATGCCTTTCCTCTATCATCCATTTCGTTACGCGAAAGGCCTTCTTCAACCACCACATAGACAGACACAGATTTATCTCCAACGACATTTATTACCTTGATCAGCTTTCTAATATCACGATCATTAACAATACCACAATAATAGAGTTGTTCTGGATGTTGATAAGCCAGACTGACTTTTGATTCTTCGGGAAGACTCATCTTGCACTTCACCAAATGAACAAATTCGGTGTACGTGGTGGTTTCGTAAAATTCAACACCGAAATAAAACATTCTCGGATTGTATTCGGGTGGCCAAACATATGATAATTGGGAATTAACAAACTCTCATCTTCCATCCGTAATGAATAATACGAAATACTCATTACAACTCATTATGTTAATTTTGAGAATAAAGAAGCTAGAAAGAAGTGCAGTTTTCAAAATACGAAATAATTTCAAAAATATGAAATACTTAATATATATAGGGTAGGTTCAAAATAATAGTCCACTCTGACAAAAAAATAGTCAAGTTTAACAAAACTGTAGTCCACTCTGACAAAAAAGTAGTCAAGTTTTACAAAACAGTAGTTCACTCTGACAAAAAACTAGTCAAGTTTAGCAAAACATTACTCAACTCTGACAAAAAAGCAGTCACGTTTACCAAAAATATTTTCAAATTTACCAAAAAAACCAGTCAACAAATTCAAAAAAATAATCTACAATTTAGCAAATAATTATTGTATTAATTCTTAAAAAACTAGTTTATATTTTACAAAAATTTTTTTTAACAAAATAACTGTCAAAAAACAACTCTACATTTTATAAACAATATAATTGTTAAAATAATTCTACATCTTATAAACAATCTTTTTAATACTCTATATCACAAAAAGAATACAATTTTTTTTTATTTTTTTTATATTTTTAAAGTCTAATGTTTTGAATTCTCAAAAAACTTTAACAAAATAATTGTTAAAATAATTCTACATCTTATAAAAAAAAATTAAAAAAAAAATTAAAACCGTAGGTTTTTTCACAAAACAATATATTAAACCCCAAAACAGTAGATTTAAAAAAAAAACAGTATTTTTTCCCCAAAACCGTAGGCTACGGTTTGGGAAACCGTAGCTAAACCAAGAGGAAACCGTAGGTTTTAAAAAACCTACGGTTTTGTTTCTTACAAATGAAAAATAAAAAAAAATTATACAAAACACGAAACAGTAGACGAATTGGCGAAACAGTAGACGAATTTTTTGTGTGTATTACACCATTAAGGTTGTTGTAACCATTTAGAAATAATCCATCTTACCGGTTTATTCCTGTTAAAAAGACTATTTATAAACGGTTAGAATAACCTTAATGGTGTAATACACACAAAAAATACGTAGGGACCTAAAATGGACAAACAGGAAACGTTATTACCCTCCTAAGATTTTTAGTATTTATTATTTTGAATATATATTTTTAAGATTTTTAGTATTTATTTTTATATGTGTATTTCATATAAAGTTGTTGAAATTAAAAAGAATAAAAAGTAGAAATGTTTGGATTGGATTAGATTGGATTTTGTAACCACATCATCATGAACACCATGAACACCGACTCAACAATCGGGCGTTCCATATGAACCGTCGGTCTAGAATCCACCCAATCCACCACATCACGGATAGATGAAAACACAAGAAGGTCCAAATGAAGCCAATGCCCAACCCAACTCCAAACCTGACCATCAACCGAAAATTGCAGCAACAAATGATTCACACTTTCTTGAGAATTATGACACACAAGACACAATAAGGAATCTATCATCACCCCCCTTTCCACCAGTTTAGCTCTTACCAGAATGCGATCCAAAAGCACACACCATAAAAAATGTTAATTTTAATAGGGACAAAACGGTCACCTAGTAGGCATACTACCCATAGGAAGCGTCATATCATTAACCCAATTCCGTGCTAATTTAACAGTAAAGATACCCGACGATTCAAGCTCCCAAGGCCACTTATCTAACATTTCCCCTATGCGAATAGGATTTAATATCCCATTATTCACTTACTCGAGCATCTTGATTAAAGGCCAAAGCAAAGAGCCTCCCGAACCACTCCCTAAGAGGAATATCCAAGCACCAAACATCCTTCTAGAACCTCATTTGAGTCCCATCCCCCACCACTCTATATATGGAATTAGAAGGAATACAACCATTCTCATGGAGATCCTACAATCTTTTGCCAAAGACCCCCTCCAGTTTACTATAGGGGTTTATAGTTTCATACGGGGATAATGACTTATGATGGTAATAACGTTTCTCGTTTGTCCATATTAGGTCTGTAACGTATTTTTTGTGTGTATTACACCATTAAGGTTGTTATAACCGTTTATAAATAATCCTTTTTACCGGTTTGTTCCTGTTAAAAGGACTATTTGTAAATGGTTATAATAACCTTAATGGTATAATACGTACAAAAAATACGTTAGAGACCTAAAATGGACAAACAAGATATGTTATTACCCACTTCATCATATTTTTTTTTTTTTTTTTCTATCAAACAAACCCCCTTAACACAACGCATTTCTAAAATTAATTATTTGAACGACAATGTTTCAAAACACAAAAATATGAAGAGAATTTCAATTAAAATGAGCAATTGAAGTTATGGTTTCAGACTATCAGTGTCGTTAATCTTCGCCGAGCAAAAGCACGAATAAGCGTTTCAGTGTCATTTCGACATTTGGATGGTTCGTTTCCTGGGTCTCGTTACTCGGTTCCTAGGGCTTCCTGCTCATCAATATCAGGTTCGTTTGCTTTCTTACAACTTGCAACTGATAATTTCATATTACTATGTCAAGTATCATCAATTAATCCCTTAACACGATGCATATATCCGTCCTATGATGAAGACAACGCATTGCTATTAAAAACTTTTGCCAGTTACTCATTTATTTAACCTGTAAATGAGCATTTGAATTATCGGCGTCATCGAATAGTTATCTTTTTCTCTTCTCTCTTTTGTAGATAGTAAGTATTCGATTAGGTTTCTGTTAGGTTATTGGTATTTAAGGTTAATAAGGTTCACCCAATTTCTGGTTATCAACCTATCTTGGACTCCTAAATTGGAGGGTTTACCTCGAGTAATAAAATCAGACATAAACCTAACTCCTAAAATTTCATCCCCAAAATTGCATATTGCATACTCTTTAGGTCAAAATTCTATTTTTTTAGGCTGTTTAGATCATATATTTTCTCTAACTTGTTGTCACAATGTCATATTATCTTGATAGATTTTTTAAAATACAATACCTTAATAAAAAAATTGAAGCACTATGCTTTAAAAGAAATAAACAAAAGTAAGATGCTATAATACACAAATAAGTTGAAGTACATTGCCATTCTAAGTTAACTCTTATCACTTTTCATTATTCAGGGAAAGTCCTGGATTTCTTATGGTCTTAACTTGGCTTTGGCTAGAAAAGGTGTAATTGTGAATGACAAAGTTTTTAAAAACTTGACAATTTCTGAACTACAAAGAAGAGGTGCAACTATTCAAGGTAAATACAAGAATATCAACATTCAACCTTTTATGTATTCGTTTATAAATTGTTCTTATTTATTTATTTGGAATTCCTTAGATTCCTTATCTGGAATTCCTGTGTATATTAGGGGGAATCTTTTTGTACAAAAATCAGAAATTACCAAAGCACAATTCAGTAAACTACTGAAACAGGCATGTCTCAACTTCCATTTCCAATCCCCTTGAGGTTTAATTTGTTTTTTCGCATCAACAGTTTCCATGGAGGATAATTTTGTCATTTACAATGTATACAAACCAAACAAGATTTTACAAAACACTGGATTTATTCTTTTCACAGCATTTAATTTATTTTCAGGTGACTACCCACATATCATCTGTCTCAGATATTTTTGTTCATGATGGTGCTATTGGTTCAACTTCAACTTCAACTTTAACTTCAATTTCAATTTCAACCCTACAAATTGATGCAAAAGTTCGGGTGATTAGTGATAACCCTACAGCTACATGTGTATTTCATAATATCCTCTTTCAAACCCCTACACGTGCAGTTTCCCATGATTCTTGCCCTCTTACTGTATATGTTGCCTCATCCATAAGGTTAGAGAATAAATTATATTATCTGTTCTCAAAACTTTAACCCAATCTTCCAAATCTGCCCTTTGGAAAAAAGTATTAGACATAACAAGTTGTACTGTGTTTGCTGTGCATTGAACTGAGACTGAGACAGATGTCAATCAGACAAAAGTTCAACTTTTTGTCCTATCCAAAAACATGGAACAAGGTGAGACAGGGCGCTTGTCAGTGTAAAAGACGTAAATGCCCTCATCATTAATAAAAATAGCTCTAGAAAGCTCCTTCTAGTCCAGTTCAGTGAGTACTGTGTAACAACCACAGCCTTACGGCTGTGGTTGTTACACAGGACATGACTATACCTGACTAACCAAGCTTTCTAGGGCTATTTTATTAATGATGAGGGCATTTATGTCTTTTACACTAACAAGAGCCATGTCTCACCTTGTTCTATGTTTTTGGATGGGACAAAAAGTTGAACTTTTTGTCTGATTGACATCTGTCTTAGTCTCAGTCCAATGCATACCAAACATAGTACAACTTGTTATGTACTTGGCTAAACTTCCTTTATGCTTTTTGTTTTTTAAAATTCTTTATTTTTGTTTTGGATAATCTTTTGACCTTTTTCAGCTTGAATGTTTTGGATGCCCTTGGTCTTGGAGGTGAAGTAAAAGATGGGCTTATTGCTGCTGATGCTGACCTGTCATATTTAGTTTTATGTGGTAAAGCTTTTTGTGATGCAAATGGTATTAAAAAAGCACTTTCCGCATTATCTGAACCAATTATAATATCTAGAGGAGGCCTTCTTCTACATCCTAGGTAATTACATATTTACATTTATACCCCATTTGTATTTTCTCAAAAATCTGTTTTTTTACTAATCAATAAAAATATTTGTTGATTTCAGAATCCTGCTCTCTTGTGATCGTGTATTTCTTATGTTCCTTTCAGAAGACACAATTAAAAGAAGCTTAAAACATATGGTTACAGATCATGGAGGGGTAATAATGTCTTCTGCTCATAATGCTTCAACATTATTCCCATCTGCAAATCCAGAAAATCAGTTTCTATCAAAATTTCCAGCTTCAATGATTCTTTCATCATCCGATAGGTATTGTTACTCAAATTCTAATTTCATCATTATTTATTAGCTTAATATTTTATTAAATGTTTTTTTTTTTAAATGTGAAGCAGTTCAGGTGTTATTCCTACTATCTCAAAACTCTCTCATGGTCAAGCAGCTTATCATTTTCTAGCAGGATATAAAAATGGGACATTTAATCCTGCATATGGGATGACTTCATATTTTTGTGATCCATTACAGATTGCAAAATCTCTTTTCTCAAAGGTAATTTTAATATATTTTTATTAGATTTGAGAAAAACATTTTAAAAGTTTTTGTTTCTCACTTTGTCTTTGCTGCAGTTGGTAGATAACCGAATTCCTTCATTCCTGATTAATGTAAATCAAGGAGAGAAACAAATATCTGGTAAGGGAAATTTGGCTGGAATCGGAATTCAATTCCATTCCGATCCTTGAAATTCCAGCTCATTTGACAGATTCTGATTCCTTCCAAAACATTTTTGTGAATTTGTAGGCATGGATTTTGTGAATTTGGTAGAATCAACTCAACACAAGAATATTCCAAAATTTGAATGTAAAGGTAACTCTTGAAAAACCTTTTGGATTCCACTTTTTTTCTTTTTACTAAATTATGCGTTTGTTTGTAGGTGGAGACCTTCGACGTAGATATAACAATTTTTTATCCAACAAGTTTGGAAAATTACCTCAACATTTTTCTTTTTAAGATTATATATTCCATAATCCTTTATATTTTTATTATTCTTTTTTCTTTTATTCCATCATGTACACCAAACGAGTAGTGGAATATGGAAGAGTCATGGAGCTTGACTTTTTGGCATTGAAATTAATGCTGACTGATTAGATTGGCTGTATTTTTTTAATTTGGGTCAACGATTTTGACTTGTTTTAGAAGGAATGGGGCCCACACCCAACTGTATTATGCATAACTCGGTATGCGTACAGCTTGCATTAAAACAGATAAGCATTGGGATTGACTTTGGTTGGCACATTCTTATCCATGCAAACTAACTAATATTAATACAACCACCAAACACATGCTGTATACGCCGTTCAATTTTAAAGTTGATTGGCATTTTAAATTATTTTTTTTTTTCATATGTTAGTCAAATCGATTTTCAAACTTATAATTTTTTTATAGAATCGGTTTGTAAATCTTAAGGATGTGAACATTTTGTTTGTGTTTTTTTTAATGGAAGTGAAACCTACTCTTATAAAAAAGGTCTCTCTAGACAATTTTGATATTGGCATAAAAGGTAATTTGTTCAACGACTTTTGAACACTAAGGTGTGTGACATAATTAATGAGATGTGGGCGTAAAACGGTTTTAGGAAAAAGATATGAAAACCGACCCGAATCAGTTTAGAGAATAAACGGTTTCAAAAAAGCAGATCCGCCGATTATGTTATGGTTTATTATTTTAACTCTTGGAATTGTTTGAAACCGATTTAAGAAAAAAAAAAAAAAAAACTATTGGAAAACCGGTTTATGGTATTATATTAGCCACTTGAAAGTAAGTTTTTTCTTTAATATTTCTAACATCGTTTTAGGCCAAAATGACCTTTTTACCCCTTTGGCTTACTATAAATATAAGTATTGGTTGTGTTGGTTTCCACCACACCACTAAAAATGGTCTCTAGTCTCGCAAAATTGGTTATTCTTTTATGGCAAAGCAATAAAATACGACATGGCCTAGGATCATATACATCATGCAAATCATTGTTTGGACATACATGGACAAATTGGTTCGAGAAATGAGACAAAGTTCATGATTCAAGAAAGTTATTCAATTATTTTCACATGCAACGTTTGGATGCTCCACACAGTTCACGACACGAATACCTTGACTTTACGACTAATTGGCTAAATCCACAAAATTGAAAAATGATGAAACATAGTTTGCATGTGAATTGTTTGAATATTTGGAGAACATTTATATAGCTTTTTAGATTACGTTATAACCACTTCTAAATTACAAACTAAAGTTTTTATTTTTTATTCTTTTGATAATGCATCAAACAATAACGTTGTTGAATAATAAAAAGTAAAATATATTGCGATGACTATTTTTTTGTACTTTATATGTTGCGAATATAATAGACTTGACTGTGAAAGACACACTTAAATTTATCATTTTGTTTATTTTTGCTTAAAAGTTAATAACATTATTTGTAACCTCACACGTTTTGGAAAAATTGGAAGCTTGGTTTTCAAAATACCAACATTAAAAGACGATATTCAAGTTAAACAATGATCGTTTGTTCCTTTGTTCAGTCTGTGTAGAATAATGGGCAGAATGCAGGCAATAGCAATGCACTTTAATTTATTTGTTTTTTCTAGCATGTTTCTTTCATTTTTTTCTGTTTAAACCTTATATTTCCATTTCTTTCTTATAAAGGTATTATACTTTAAAAATAAATATACCCAATCATGAGAAGCTTTGTATAGTTAAACGGGGTTTCTAACTATTTAAAGCACATTGTTATATTTTCTATTTAATCATTTTCAAATTCCTGTGCACGGGATGCAATCCCTATGCTTGGTAAGTTTTTAAATATAAAATGAATCTTCCAAGTGTCTTATTGGATATTTATGTATAAGCATCTCAATCCAACTAAATTCGTAGACAAAGTGAAAAATATAACTAAGTTCTAATTCAAATGACAAATATCATTAAATTAAATACATATAAAAATATTATTAGTCAATTTACAATAGTTTAAATATTTGAAAAATGGATGTGTAAACTCGACAATTTGTTTTCTTATGCAAAATAAAAAATTGAACTTAACGTTTTAAGTGCACAACAAACTTTGGATTTTTCTTTAGCACTACAAAAACATGTTTATTCTCATTTATGTACAATTTATTGTTTAACTATATCATCGTCATGAAAATTAACTCCATTTTAACCTATGACACCCACGGGTCTTATCTACTTACATTAACAATTGAACACTTTTTAGTTTTCGTTACTATTATTTTGTATCATTTTTGTATTTTATACGTAAGAATATACATTAGAAAATTAATCAAATAAAGTAGAACTAATGACACATATAAGATGACAATCGAGATGAGACACATATGGGTGAAGAAAGCAAGTATGATATGAGACAGATTACCTTCTAACTCCTTATATGATGTATTGTCATCGATAAAGGCTGGATTTGGGCATTTCATATTTCCAAAATTCCAAACAACCATTCATATCATGACAAGGACGACCCTATATTAAAAAAGCTCAGCTACCTGTCCACTAAACACTATAATTTCAAAACTTATTTTTAATGTTTTTCCTACAATTTGATCTAAACAAGAAAACCATAGAAACCAATACAATAATCCGTCAATGTTTAAATGGAGTTTTCCTAATTTTGAATTGTACAACTTCAATTTTGGGTCGGTAGTTCTAGAAAGGCTTTGAAAGGTTTTTGAGTAATCAACTTTTTATCTTTTAAGAAAAAAAACGGGGATTAAAACTAAATATTTATTTTAAACTAAATATTTAAATACAGATTTAAAACTTTTATTTTAAACTAAATATTTATAAGTCAATAGCTATTTTAAATAGTATTTTGGAGTTTTTATATTTTTTACTTTTATATATTATGTTATTTTAAATATTTCAAAACTTCCATATATTTTTTCATTCCACTTATATCATTAGTATACTCTCCACATGACCACTAAAAACTGTTGCCTCATAAACGTCAACACATCACCACAACCAGGCCCGACCCAGACGGTGGACAACTCGGACGGCCGCCCATGACCCATTTCTCTAAGGAACCGAAAATTCCTAGAATATATGGTATATATATAGAAAAAAAATCAACTTATCTAAAAATGGTAGGAAAAGTATTTTTCCTTAAATTAGTTGTTTTTGTAATGTTGTGGCCATATTTTTGATTTTTAATATTAAAAGTGAATTTTATAACGGTTTGTCTATTTTCAACTTTAAGGACCCATTTTTTTTTCGGCATGGACCCACTATATATTTGGACCGGCGCCGACCACAACTACATCATTATATTGAAGTTGGTATACCACATCATCAAAACAATATATGTTTTATTTTTTTAATTAAGTAAGTTATATTTTTTAAATAACTAAAGGAAAAAAATACTAAAATTTCATTAAAATTAAAACATTACATAGATTACAATAAAAAAACCCAAAAAAAAAAGTTACATTAATTTAAATAAAACGATATCGGAGAATTACTCAACTCATACCAAACATTGATATATGGAAAATGTTTACGGCTAAGTTGAGATTATTGGTGTTGTTTCGACGCCACATCGATGACCTCGTAGTTGTTACTCCTTTGGATGTGTGTTTTTTAGTTCCTTATAAATGTCAGTGAGCTCTGTTATTTTTAACCTATTATCATGCCATTTTGATAAAATTTCATCAAAATCCCGATAAACACATTTTCTTATTTCGTTGTGGAAGTGGTTTCGAATAGATTGCTAGAAGTTTTATCTTCTTTTCAAAGGGTCTTCAGACACCGAAATCCAAACACGAGCTAACACAATTTTTATTTTTATTTTATTTTTCCTCTGAAGGTTGTTGGGTTTTGAAGTTTGATGGTTATGGAAATTGTTCTATTGTAGGGAGTAAGAAATTATAAGTGAATATATTGCGATTTGTTTAGTAGAGAAAGAAAAAATAAGGTGAAATAGTTTGTAGTAAAATGGTTATATTTATAGTTCAAAAGTAGGTAAATTCTTAAAAATATAGTTGTTAGCTTTTTGGAATAATACTCATTTAAATGATTGGTCCATTGCATCTCGTGGTAATTGGCACAAGCATCACACTCGTGGCAGAGGGGTTGGTATGCACAACCGTGATGTCCTTGCCACCCGACCACAAACACACCATCGTGATACATATATCATTCAACTTATAAACAAATAAAAGTTACACATTTTGGCTTACAACTTCCAGCTTTTTGCTATCAGTTACCACCAGCTAGTTTTATCAAACATAACCTACATCTTTTAAAAACTTACAGGTGCTTTTGCCGAACAAATTGGACATAAATAAAAGTTACAGTTTTTGGTAGGACGGTTTTGTATAGGGTCCGATGGTTGCTCCGACAACGTCTGTCTGTACGCAGTACAAACATTTTCAATTTTTTTTCTACTATTATGTCACTACTTAAATTTTCCGTGTCATAGGATGAAATCCTACGTCCGCCTCTGGTTTCCGGCTTCCGGTTTTCGTTATCAGGGGCTACCGCCTCAAATCCATAAACAAACAAGTAAACGTAAGAGCAAACGTAAGAAATTTCTGGAATTGGTGTTATCATATACAACAACAACCATCCAAACTATATTTCGAAATCCCATCCACCCCTTTAACCTAACTACTCATAAATGCTCACCTTTTTCCATCTTCCCTCCTTAACTACCCTCCTTCCCAACTCTCTTTCCCTCCCCCCTATATATTATTCACACATACGGATCATACCTCTATATCCATACACACCATATTCCCTCTTTCTCTTTCTCTCTCTCACATTAAAGCAACCATTCACAGCTCACAAATACAGCAGCCTGCCAGCTACTCTATACACCTTTTCTCTTCTGGATCAAAATGGCGCCCGCAGCAGTTGATTTTGATGGATCTTCGTCTTCATCGAAGACGGTTTGTGTAATGGATGCTGGTGGAAGTTTAGGATCTGCACTTGTTCATCGTCTTCTTCAAAGGGGTTACTTCGTTCATGCTGCAATTAACAGTCATGGTACTTCGTTTATTTCCTTTTTTATTTTCGTTTGGATATTGTAATTTAGGGATTTCAATTTGGGTGCGAATTGAATTGAAATAACTTTGAATTTGTTAATTCTTCAGTGGAGATGCAATCTATGGAGAGAACGATTGTAGACAAGAAGAAATTGAGAGTGTTTTACACAGACCCGTTGGATTATCACAGTA